CCTCCCTGTCAACCCCAAGGCCACAGTCACCCAGCACCGCTGATGAAAGCCAGACACCGTGCTTGGCCCAGGCCGGGAGCCTCCAGCCCTGGGGACCGTCCACCACGGGAGGAGTGGAGGGGGTGGCCAATTTTCCTTCTGGCTGGCAGACTGCTTGATGTGGGCTGGAGACGGGATGGGGGTCCTGGAGGGAGGCTGGGGAGCTGGGGCTCAGCAGGAGGGTCTCTGAGGACCCTCCACAAGTCTCTGCATATTCGAGCCCAAGGCAGAGAATGCAGCCTGGAGGTTTCCCGCCGTGACCAGACACCCACAGCCCCTGACTTCCTCAGCCCCTCAGCCAAGTGAGCCCTGGTGGCCGAGTGGTAAGGAATTGTGCTGCCAGCCCAAAGGCATGCCGCAAGGACACACCAGCTGCTCCCCTGGAGAAAGACGGGAAATCTCCTCTTGTTCAATTAACTGCCTCTGACAAACCACTAGAATATGGATTGGTTCTGACTCAATTGTCTGTACATATCAACAACACGACCACCATGGAGCAGGGGTGTCAGCGAGAGGCAGGGACCATCTGGGCACAGGTCTCCCAGCCAAGTGACCTTAGGCAGAGCTCCTCCCTTCTCCAAGCCTCTGTTTCCTTATCTGTAAAGTGAGCCCAGTAGTATCTGCCTCCTCAGGCTGCTCCAAGAGTGGGAAAGAACCGCTCAGCTGCACAAATCCTCCAGCGGAACCCTGGGGTGGGAGGAAGTGGAGCTCAGGGTTGGGGTTTTGAAGGATGCATAGGAGTTTTCTGCATGAGGAAGGACATTCTCAGCAGAGGGAACAGAATGACTTGGAGTTCTCAGGAAATGGTAATCACAACAAGCCTGACGGTGCAGCAACTCAGTACTAGCTAACAGAGAGGCTGCCGTCTGAAGCACTCAGGGCTCCGAGGGAAGAATTTCTGGCGATCTGCTCTGATAAAGACAACAGCCCAGCAGTCCCCATGGGGCACTTCCTCTTGGTCAAACAGAATTGCCACGTGATGAACACTGATGTGGCAACACTCACAACAATGGCAAGAATGACATCATCTTTACCACTGTCAACTGGGTCCTGGATACACGCTGGAGTTCAGACCTCATGTCCCCAGAGGGGTGGCTGACAAGGACTTCCTGCCGGCCGTGGAGGGGCACGGGACTCCTAGCAGACCCTCCAGCTGTTTCCAGAGGCAGTAAATCACACAGGAGGAAATCCCACATCTTCCTCCAGCAGGACAGCTGGTGGATTTGAACCGAATGCCTTTGGGCTGGCAGAGCAGTTCTTTACCCCTCGGCCACCAGAGCTTCCTGTGCACTCCTACGAGGAGATGGCGTTTGAATTCCCTGCTTTACTCCTCATTGTCGTGGAGTAAGAACCGATTCATACAGCTCACCCTGCACGGGGTTTTGCAGGCTGTAAACCACACATCTTTATTCCCCCGAGCTGACGGTGGATTTGAACCACTAAGACAGCAGCTGTTGGGCAGCTCCCTGCAGGATAGGCCACCAGAGCTCCCTGCCCTGTTTTCTAGAAGGATCGAGGCACGGAGAGGCCTTGTCCCAGTCGTCCAGCCAGCAGGCGGCAGAGCTGCGGTCTGGATCCAGCTCTCCAGGCCCTCGCTCCCTCCCTCCAGCAAGCTGGGCAGGGGGCAGGGTGGGGGCTCGGCAGCAGGGATGTCCTTCCCACCCCCAGGCTGTCCAGGCAGGTTAGAGATGGTCGAGGCTACAGCCTTGACCTTCCTCGGCCAGGGGCAGTGTGTGTGCGGTCCAGCCCGCTGGACTGCAGGACAGAGATGTGGTGGGCAGACCTGAAGGCGTGGGGGGAGGCCTGAGGCCTGGGCTGCCTGCAGAGCAGAGGGGGGAGGGGTGCAAGGGGGAGGGGATGCGGCCAGAGATTGTGCTGACTCGGGTAGAAAACTCGCTTCAAAATTTTATCAGCTCAGCTCCGCTGCGGAGGAGGAGGTGGGGGCAGGGCGGGCAGCGGGTGGATGCGGAGGGAAAGGCCTGGTCCTGCATGGCAATGAGGGCCCCCAGCCCCAAGGCCGCCCCTGATCACCACACTGAGTCACCTTGTCCGTCCCCTGTCTCCACAGCCTGTCACTGGGCCATCTCTCTGTGATGCTGGGTGTTGTGGATGGGGTACAGGCCAAGGTCAGAGACAGAACAGCAAGGTCTGCCTGGGGGCAGTGCAGGCTGAGTGACTCCTCCCCCCACAAACACCCTGTGCACCCCCTCATCCAGTGCTGGAGCCCCATCACCCACCCCATCTTAACACTGACACTAGGAGGCAGCCTGGTTAGTCCCAGTCTATTGAGGAGAAAACTGAGGCCTAGAAAAGCAGTGTGTCCAGGCCACACAGGCCTCTCCCTGCTCCCTCAGCCCCTGGCTTCCCCTTCATGTGGGATGTGCCAAGATGAGGTCTGTGTTGGCATGCCCCCACTGGGTCGGCCTGGCATGTGCCAGCTGGGCATGGATGGGGAAGAGGTGGTCACACACACTCGTCTCATTGAGGGGTATGGATTCCGTACACACGGCAGGCTGGCTTTCAGTATAGCAAGCATGATCTGTAGCCCAATCGAGGTAGAGATTCTGAAAATGCCCAAGTGACAGATGGGGAAACCGAGGCCAGAGTGGCACTCAAACTTGGTGACCCTGAGAGGCCGGACATCCACGTTTTCACCTAGGTGACCGCTCTTCCTGGTCATGCCCTCAAGCCCACCACTGCCTACCATTCAGTACAGTCCAAACTGGGCCTCCTCCTCCAGGGAGCCACTGTGGACTTTCCCCATCCACATATACCCAGATGGAAGGGCTGGAAAGGAGGAAACTGAGGCCCAGACAGGGTAGAAGTCTAACCAAAGACACACAGCCACCTCACTGGTCAGACCTCTGCCCACTGTTTGTTTATAGATGGTCCCGGTGCATGCTCACCTGCCCTTCCACCATCCTGCCCAGCCAGGTCCCACTTCTCAGACCTCTAGGGCAGCTTCTTACCCTCTCCAACCCCAAGGCTTCTCACCTCTCTCAGAATGGTAAGTTTTGTCTCTGCCTTCAGATGCCCACATTATAAATGCCTCCTCCCTCAGACTTGAACCCTTGTACCCTATCACCCCCTCAAACTCCTTCCAACCTCCTTAGTCTCTTGCATGGACCCTCTTCCCTCTGCAGGTCCCCAAGTCAGGTTCTGCCTCTGCCTTCCAAACTCCCCGCATCCCACCTGCTCCTCCCCTTAGCCTCACCCTGCTCCATAGCAACCCCTCTCCCGGCTCTCACAGTGCACATGTCTACCCCCTCTGACTTCCCATTGCTCCTGCCTCCTCTCTCAGACTCCTCACACCATGTCTCCCACCACTGTGGGTTTCTGCACTGACTGTTCTCTCACCTTAGACCCCAAATCAAGTCCTATAGACCCCCACCTGGCAGCTGCCTCCCCCCTCAGACATCGATTATACTGTATATCCCCCTTGGGGACCCTGGATGGCATCTGCCTCAAACATCTGACCCCATATTACACTGGCTATCCCTATCAGGCTCCACACTGCAGACAGGAGCTTTTGCTCTCAGACACCTGTGTGCATTCACCTCCCCATCAGACTGTACACGGCACCACACTAACCTTCAGCACTCTCAGTCACACCTGCCTCTCCCATCAGACTCCACAGTGCACCTGCCTCCTTCATTGGAGTCCACATTACATCTGCCTCATCCCTCAGAATCCACACTGCATGTTTCCCCTCCAGATGTCTGTACAAGGCTCCTTCCCCCTATCAGACCCAACAGAGCAACTGTTTCCCGCCCTGGTCTCAACAGAGCACCTGCCTCCCCCATCAGACTCCACAGTGCACCTGCCTCCCCATCAGACTCAAGAGTGCACCTGCCTCCCCCATCAGACTCAACAGTACACCTGCCTCCCCCATCAGACTCAACAGTGCACATCC